CGGGACAAAGTTCTCCCCCTTGGAGTAGATGACACCGTGGATAAACTAAAGATGATGGAAGGACGAAAAACCAGCATCCGCAAATCTGTCCAGGTGGCTTTTGACCGGGCCATGATCCATATGAGTCGAGTCCGGGGAGACCATCCTTTTGTCACGCCAAATTATCTGTAGGGACTACAAGAACCTGCTCTGCCCTTCCTTTCCACCCCAATAATAATGTCTGCCTCCATAGGAATTGTGGTGGGTGTGCACTGATCGGTAGGATCAGTAGGATTCTTCCATGCTGTGGATTTTTTTCTTTTTTCTTTTTTGGTGTTCATAGGAGAGATGCACTATTCCTAGCTGTAGGAAAAGCTCCTGTAAAGTCCCTGATATGTGCCAAAAGTCTGTCTGATTTCTTTCTGAATACGTCTCAATGAAGAGCCAGCAGGAGAGGAAGTGAAGGAATGGTCTGACCAGCAAGAAGATGTCAGGAGCACCTGCAGTGTAATGCTTTGGCCCTGGCAGAATCTTAGATCAGGTTATATGGGACGGGAAAGCCGAACTCATTTGCTGGCTGGAACTGAAGGGCGCCCCCCCCCCCCATCTCTTGGGTTTTCAGTCTTCAGCGAGTCCTGAAGAATTTTCTGGAGTCCGCCAGCAGTGTAAACAGCCCCAGTGTAGAAGATGAATGTGTGCCAAATTTACAGTAATATCCACCATACTTTTCGCATGTCATTTTTAAAGCTCTGATTTGCCTCACTGAATCTATACATTTATAGCCTAGTCTTTCAAATCTGATGCCTAGATTTAAATATATGTTTTCATGTTCAATCTAACCAACAGAAAAATACAATGAAAACATTTTGATTGAGTTCCCGCTTTCTCTCATGCACATTTAAATGTGAAGAAGAAATCTCTATTAAAATGTTTTGTGTGATTAAGTTTATGAAGTAGGGTTTTGTCACATTTCAGTTCAGTAATTCAGGAGCTCCAGCTTCTGGTGAATACATTATTAAAACTGGGCAAAACAGTGTTTTAAAACATCCCTCAGAAAGCATCTAATTTGTTGCAACAGCTTCGTTATATAGTTAGCAGTTGAGGAAATCATAGGTTGTATCCATAGCCCATGCTCGAAGGTGCTGCTTACAGATCTTTGAGTAGGGGTGTGCATTTAACATAACCTGAGCCAGAAAAATACCTTATTGGTAGGTATTTGTTCAGCCAGTTAGCCAGTGGGCTACTTATCTGGCTATCTGAAAATGGCCGGCCCAAAAAATTCCAAAAATATTCAGGATTTTTTTGACTGCTGGATAGCCGCAGTCAAAGGGCATTTAAAGGATTCTCAGTCCCTTTAAATGCATTTGGAGTTCACTTGCCGTGAAGTCGCATAGCTTTGAGAAGGCATTTAAAGGGTCTGCGATACTTTTAAATGCCTATTTTCCCCTTCTTAGGAAACAATGGAGGGTGGGGGTACCTTTTTCTGGGGCCCATAGAATTGGACCCCCTGGTCCAATCTTTTTGAAACTTGGGGGGGGGGGGTTAGGAGCGGCACCAGCAGCTATGTTGCAAATTTGGTGTCTCTACCTGAAACAGCAGCTCCCCCAGATACCCCCAGATTGATTCTCCATTATAGCCTATGACTATATTGACTGTAATGGTCCCCATAGAGTATAATGGAGACAGAAAAAATTGGCAAACCAATACCATACTGGTATTGGGATTCAGGAATACTGGGAAATACCAATATTTTTCGAGTTCAATATACCCAAACTCGAAAAATACCGGAGATTTTTGCACACCCATATCTCTAAGTAGTGGCTGCCACATGCACATAACTGTCTCTCTGATGCATAAATCTTGATGGTTGCTGGATGCAGGTTCAGCCTCTTGCCAATGCCAAGAAGATAATACATATATACAAACCTGTTTCCATTGCTTATAGAGGGATTGGGGGTCTGTTGCACACCTCGCTGCATGTGCAGAGCTTTCTCCAGATCTGAATGATGCAATCCCTGCTTGCCGTGAGTGCCATATGTAGAGTGAAATGTGCAGCTTTGGGTAGAGACATCCGTATCAAACCACAATTCCTCTTTACCATCTTGTTTTGTGTTAAATCAGGATGTTCTCCTTGCTCATCTGAATATGTTGCAGTTCCTTTCCCATAAGTGCTTCACCCTCCACTTTCCTGCTCTATGAGCCTCCATTATGAAGATCCGTTAAAATAACAGAACGCAGCTCCTCAGAGAATACTATTTTTTACCTTTCATGTGCTGAAAAAACAGGGAGTGCAGTAGTCTGCAAGTGACAAAGTATTTCATGTTTGAATTCTGATGTACCTTAGATTTTTTTCTTTTCTTTTTAAGCATTATAAACCAAAGGTGCGGAGCAAGATTGTAATTTGAATAAATCATCATTTTTCTTTTCAATTTTTTATTTTATTTTTTTCATACTAAAAGATTGTGGAACAAAAGATTAATGATAATAAAAAAAAATTAAATAAAAGGGGGGGGGGGGGGGAATCACTGCCAGTTCTATGTGGCCTTTTTTAAAAAAGTACCACATCTTATATATTGGGATACATACATCTTATATACAACCACACTTTATGGAAAATATCTGTAACATATAAAGAAGTGAAATAGGATTTTTTTTTAAGTCAATAATGCCTAAAGAGTGTGGCTGCAGAAGGAACTTATGTACATAGTTGTAAAATACAGTTCTAAATTATTCAGGCCGATTGTTACCATTCTTAAAGTCCTCAGTTAATGTTGCTGGGTCTTTTGTATGCACACAGTGTAATTAATTTAAAGCAACATACACTTTTCCCAGGTTGTAGCTCAGCTGTGGACTTGTGACCTGTGTATAACTGTTTTAAGATCTTGCATTTTGACTTTTATTTCATGTTTTTAAAACTGCATTTTAAGGATTTGAATTGGCTAATTATCCTGCTGTTGCTATGGGACCTAAACATGACTTGTCAATCTGCTGTAAAGCACAGATGGCTCTATTTATTGTAGAAAGTGAGTTTATTTGCTTTCTAGAACTGTTTATATCAGATGGTATAAGAGGTAATAAAATTCTATGCTTGTAAAGAAAAAAAGTGCTAATTTTACCTACTATAATCTGACTGTCTGAAACTATATTTTCTCTCTGAGAAATAAATGTTCTAATGTAAAACACTGAACTGAATTGTCTTGATCTAGGGATCTAGGTAAATGCTCTGCTTGATATTCCACAGTGATTTAGCAGTTTTCATAAATCTCCTCTTCTGGATTCCTGCCTAAACTGGAAGTTGTTCTTTAATCTTATTTGAATTGCAGACATGGCAAAATGCAGAAAGTTTGGCAGGAAGAAACAAGTGGGACTTCTCAGAACGTGTGAGCAGGGATAGGAAAGTTAAAAATGAGGGACCCTAGAAAAACCTACAATGTGAAACTTTGACTTCTGAAAGCTTTTTGTATTTTTTTAAAGACTGTCGAGGTTTCATGTGATGCAGGCTGAACACTTAGGCCACTCTAGGATATTGAACTTTAGATAAGGGTAAGCATATATATTGTGTAATAGTACCTACAAGTCTTCTTCCAGCACATTCAGAATTCTTTTTAATTGAATTACAAATTGGCAATCACATGACTGTTCTCGTACGTATTCAGTGTAGCAAAGTTCCACTCAAAACGTATGCTCAGTATACCATATGGATTGTATGAACTGACCTGCAAAACTAGGTTTAGGATAAGTGTTTTATTTCCCTCTTCCAGAATGGAATGATACTAGTATTGTGATGGCTGCACTCATAAAGGGAAGCCAAACTGCCCTCCTCATCAACTTTTTTTTGGATGCTGCTCAGTTTGAAAAGAGCCATGGCAACTGAAGTCTTGATCAACTGTAGCTGTGACCTGGGACCCTAGCCAGGCCCAGTACCATCACAGTATACTTTCCAGGGTCAGATGCTAAACCCACATCAACTGGCACTGGGGTGTGAATTATCTGTTCTTATCTGTTCTTCAGGGTGGAACATCTAATAAGGTCTGCTAATGAAATTGGAGATTGACACTTAGACTTTGGTTCTAGAGCTGGTGTACCTTTAGATTTTCCTAACAACTAATTTTTCCCACTTTTGATGCTGGTGGAGGATTTTATTTGGAGCTCCTGAAACTACTCAGATATCAAGAGTCATAACAAGACATCCTTGTGCTGGTGTCATAGGGATGAATGCTCTTGAGGCACTTGGGGAGGGGCCGTGGCTCACTGGGAGAGTATCTGCTTTATATGCAGAAGGTCCCAGCATCTCCAGTTAAAAGGATTAGATAGGAAGTGATGTGAAAGACCTCTGCTTGAGACCCTGGAGAGCCACTGCCAGTCTGAGTAAACAATACTGACTTCAGTGGACCAAGGGTCTGATTCAGTATAAGGCAGCTTCATGTGTTAATGTGCGTTCACCATGGCTAACATGTCTGCCATATGCATTCCCATCAATTTCACTGCTCCCACTGGTTCTTCAAAGTATGTGGTATCTGGGAGTAGAAATCATCCCAGTGGCATTATATTGGCCAAGACAGGCTGAGAAGCAATGAGTGGGGCTTTGGCTCAGTTGCAGAGCATCTGCTTTGCATGTAGAAGGCCCTGGGCTCAGTCACTGGCACCTCCAATTAAAAGGATTAGGAAGCAGGCGATGTGAACGCTGTCTGACTGAGAGCCTGGATAGCTGCTGTCAGAGTAGACAATATTGACCTTGATAGATGATGTACTTACCACCTCAACTGTTGCCTAGGAAAATTCATATCACAGTAACTAGTTAATTCTCTTAGGTGCAGAATTTTTTTGTCTTTTGTGTTATAGACTAAGCTGTCGATTGTTCTGGTGGTCATGGTTTAGGCAGAATCTTGTATGCCTAGTGAGAATGGACCATTTCTACTGATGGAGCCACACCACATCACTTCTTCCCCAGACCAATTTATTAGATTCTTTGCCTCATTCTGTTTGGAATAATTTAATTATCTCTTAAATTCTGCAAGGATTCAACACTCAGATGTCAATCTGGATTCGGCAACAGTGGTGTTGCCAATAGAGTCAAAGAGGAAGCTACTGAGGCTAGAATCCGTTTGACTGGCAGCTGCTATCTCTGTGCTTTCATTTTGCTGGAGTTTCAAGATAACCCTGCAGGCCTGGATCTGCACCTGTTCCTCAGGGTGAATGATAAGGGAGAGAAGGCAGTCAGATAGATGGGAGTCTTCTCCAAAGAGGACCTCATGAAGGGACAGCTCATTGTACTGCCAGTTCACTGACTGGTAGTGGGTAGTCAAACGTCCGTCACTTAGCCGCTCCACAAACACCAGCATCTCAAAGAGGAGATTTCCAGGCTGGGAAGGTTGGAAGAGGTTCATGAATTCAGCCTGAACCTAAGAAAGGGACAATATTAGGGTCAGCATCATGAGTTAACAACTTAAGGCAGCTGCCAAAGTCCCCATACTAGCCATTGCTGAGTCCTGAAAGGCTGCAGGACAGGAGGAGTCACTACTGCCTGCACTGTTTCTCTGAGTGTCAGTAGCAGGACTTAGCCCCCTTGGGAGGACTGGGCACAATGGCAATCCCTCCTCCCCAGTACTATTCACCTGGAGGAGCCTTTTTCCTTCTGGGGGATGCAATCTGCCCTTGCTGCTCACTTGCAGGAAAGGAGGCCTGATCCTCCTGAGGTGACCCACCATTCCTAATATCTTGCATGAAGGGGCAACTGGTGGCAGCTGCTCCTTGCTGTCTTTGGAACCATTCTGCTGTCTCCACAGCACAGTGCTGTGCCACTGCTGGAAGTAACTCTCCTTCCCCTTCTCACTGAAGAGTCAGAGTGTAAAGCAGGCATTCCCAGTCATACTTAGGCTGGTGGCTGCTACTGCTGCTAGCAGCCATGCCCACTCAGAGGCAAGGCTTCGGGCTATAAGCAGGATCTGCCACCACCCTGCTTTGCCTGGAGAGAGGAGGGACCAAAGCAAATTCATCAGGGAAGGGACATCAGGCAGCATATTACCCAGCTCCTCTCTCAACGAGGAGTCAACCTGTGGCAGAATAAATGGTGTAGTCCAGTGTCTGGCCAACAGAGAGTGACTCTGGCTCAGTGGTAAAGCGTCTGCTTTGCATGTAGAAGGTCCCAGGTTCAGTTCCCAGGATCACCAATCAAAGGGGTCGTATTGCAGATGATGTGAAAGACCTCTGCACGAGACCCTGGAGCACCACTGCCAGTCACAAGACTACACCAATCTTGATAGACCAATGGTCTATCTTAGTATAAGGCAGTTTCACATGTATGCGTTTGTGTGTGCTTTAGTGCAACCAGCCACAGATTCCAGGCACTGGCGAAAACATACATTTCTATTTGTTATTCTTAGTAAGCCTCCTTTGCTGCAGCAGATTTCTAAAATCTAGTCACCCTCCTTTTTTTGCCAGTTGCTGCTCTCCTCCCTAAGGTTCCCAGTAGAGGCAGGATGGTAGTTCTTACCTGGCAGTTCATGATGTCATATAATAGAGCTTCCTTCTGGGCTAGCATGCTAAGAAACATTAGAACCTGCATCTAAAAAAGATAGCAGAAGATGAGAATATATTGTCAGTATGACTGAGTGTCTGTGCATGAGTCTTGATTTCCAATAATGACCTCAAAGGCTGTTAGTGTAGGAGATCTTGGCACAGTGCAGGGCACAAGACTCAATACCTGGGCCACAGGACTCCCGAGCTGCAGAATGTCCATCAAGGAAGGCATAAGCTTTTTCAGTAGTGGATGAGTTTGAGCTGGCAACTGCAGTCCATTCAGCAGCCTCAACCCAGCAACGTGCACATCATTATCCCAGAAGTTGGTAATCATTTCAAGAATTTTGGGGACTAATTCCTGCAAAACAAAGATGTATTTAAAAGTTACAAACCCAGTTCCTGGGCCGTGTGTGTAACAATTCCTTGTTTTAAGAGTGTGTGTGTCTCTTTAAATGTTTGGTTGCGGTGCAGTGAATGCAGAGTAGAGTGATTGAGAGAGACAAGTGTGCTGTGATTGGAGGATGAGAGAGTGTGGGAGGAGCTTTTAAAGTGGATCTGTGTGAGTGTCAGTCAGGAGAGACAGTTGAAAACAGGAGTTGAAGTTGTTCAATGGAAATTCAGTCAGTGAGAGAGGTGAAAGAATCTGTGTGGGATCCGAGAAGAATCAGTATATGTGTATTAAAGTGATACAGTTAACAAGCTCATTTACAGGAACTTTATTCCCAACCGGTTACATAATAACCAACCTCTTATTTTGTTTCCCTTTCAATAAATCCTCTTTTATTTAAGTTAATCCCAGAAGTAATATCAATTATTCCTCAGGACCACAGAGACCCTTGAAAGCCTAGACCCTGGGTTACAATACCAACATAGGAAGCTGAGAGTGGATTTGGAATTTAGAAAATTCCTGGTGACAGCCGGAACTACCTATTTTATAAACATCCAGTATAACTTAAAGGGAAACCTAGTCCTCCCCAATAGGAGGTTGTCACAGTGTGAATTATGCTTGTCACCACACACAGCAATCCATCTTGCATTTTGCTTCCTGAGAACCTACACTGCCACGTTTTCTTTTTGGTCGTTTCTAAGGCCAGACACTCATTTTTACCCTTCAGTTTGGCACGGTGAGCATTTCTACTAAAAGCTTCGTGCATATGGTAAACTCTGACCTGTATGAGTTTTGGGAAAAGATAAGAACCTGAACACTTGCCAGATATGATAAATCTCAAACCTCACGATGTATGGGATACTTTTAGAGAAGCTGTGCAAAAATGAAAGTGATCTCAATAAAGAGACATTGTCCTCAGAGTCTGGCCTGATTAACTGGGGAAGTGGCTTACAGACGCTCAGCCCTGAACCCAGTGCAAGGGGGGAAACAACTGTGCCGTGGCTCCCAGGGAATAAGTTTGGGACAGCAAATAGATCAAGAGGCAGCACTGATTTTTTTTTCTAAATAACTAAATAATAGGGGAGGAGAGGAAATCAATGAATGGCAGCCCTTAAACTGCAGCATTGGTTCCAAAGCTGTGAACAGCCAACAGACGGGTACAAGTGGTGAAACAGGATCTCCCTGCTTTCTCCCTTGGCAAAAAATCAATAGTACACCTTCAGTAAGTAGATAGCATTTCCATTAGGCTGTTTCCCTGGACCTGTCCCAAGCTGCTGGGTTCTGCCCATAACTCCTTCCTTGACTCAGACCCAAACTGCACGGTGCCTGCCCACTCCCTGGCTCCACTTGCAACCTGCTCTCTGCTCCTCTTCCCAGATCCGACCCAGCTGCCTTATTATTTATTTATTTATTGCAACCCTAGTTAAAATCAGTGTATAGGATTGGCTTGTCCCTCTCATGTATACAAAACAGGTGAGTTATTCTGCTAGTGGTCAAGTAGCATGAATTTTGCAGCCGTACAGCAAACTTCCTCATGGCCTTTAGCATCTGCCTCTGTACCTCCCTCATATAGCTCTCCTTCCTTAGATTTGACCCCTCATTAAAATAGTCTACATTTTGTGGGAACTCCCAATGGCTGTGAACAGAATGCACTATAGAGATTAAGCAACATATGGCAATTTCCTACCATTTATTCCATATGGGCTTCCCTTCTCAGATAATAGAAACAAAAGATTCACAAAATGGTACCATCATGGGTTTGGGGAGGTCACTGCTTATGTCCTAAATAGCCAGTATCAGCCTAGGATGTTCTTTCAGTCACAAACACGTTTCAAATCAGCAATGAATGAGGGGAAGTATTTCATTTTCCCAGGTATGAAATATTGCATTCTGAGCTCCTAGAAAATAAATATTCCCAGAACAAAAGTACTCCTGTGTGGGAAGATATATACAGGTCATGCTGAGCAATTAGAAAATGAATAACTATTCATTATGCAAAAGAAAAAAAGAGGTTCCTATATAAAAGCCTTTACAAAGGTTTACATCATTACATCTTGAGCCCAGTTTAGAAGTATTTTAATAACACAAGGAACAAACAAATGAGATATAACTTGCAGTTGGGTGCAGATGTCCGGTTATCTCATGGAAGAAAACCATTTTGTGGGGGTTTTAAAAGAAAACATTTGGCAGCTGTGCGCTCTCTTACTGTACAATACAGGCGCAGACTTTAACAAGAAAACGTGCTGAACTGCAGCAAGCGTGGCTTCTTCTCTTTGCCCTGCCCCAATCTGAGCAAGCCTGTCCCCTCGTCTAGTATGCGTGGGCAGGAGTCAGCACTTTGGGCATAGAAGAGGCACTTGTGGGACAGTGTGCATGTTCGCAACTGCACCTCTGGCTTTTTTTCCTGTGAATGAACTGTGCCCTCTAGAGATGACAAATCCATTGCTTCGGATTATACCCACATAGTCTCTCCTCTTTGCTGCTGTCTACTGAAACAAGAGAGTGATTCTTTTTATTGTATTTTCGCTTTGAAACGGCTGTTAACTGCCTCGTGAGCCTGGAAGGGCTGAGAGTGAGTGCAGGATATAAATGTTTTAAGATTTAAAAAAAAAAAGAAATTTACATTTTTTTCTCCTTATGGACCAGTGTGGCAGCAGCCATGCTTTTGTGAGATATCATAGCAACTGCAATCGAATGTGCTGCCTCTCCTCCTAACACTCCAAACAGATTTGATGTAAAAGATACAGTGATTAGGACCTTTGACTTCTGTAAAAACTAATTAGCAGTGCCAGGAGGCAGCTTTGAAGATTGGCAAAGGGTCACTGGGTGAGGGGGTGTTTAATCCTTTTCTCCCATGTGTCTTCCAAATGCCCCATCCAAAACTTCAAATCAGTCTCTATGGGGAAAAGACAGGCACAAGCACATGAATTAGATTTCCCCACTCAGAGCAAATGGTGACTGTAGAGAGGCTCTTTATACCAGAGAAAAAGCACTGGAGGAAATGGTTTGAAGTAATCACATGGTGCTACTAATCAGCTTTTTAAAAAACCCAGACACTCTGGAAGATCCTAATCAGGGATCGTTCATATCATATCTGTTTTGGCACCAAGGTTGAGTTCACACACAAGCATTTTCATCACTCAGTGCCTGCATGGTCTTCTGAAAAAGCAAATCCCTTGAGTGGAGTATTCACACCCCTTTCCCATCACCTTAGACCCAAAGCTTTTCAACAGAACCAGTTCACACATTCAGGTGTAAGTCATCCAGTGGTGAGACATAGAAAGATGCCTTGCTGAACATTGTACAAGCATGTGTTAATCGACCCTTATAAATTGTAAAAAAGCCCAATCTAGAAGAACAATGTTTGCGGCAAAGAATCACCTGAATTCTGGTTTTGAACTTCCAGATGCCAGAAAAGGCCTTGAGGGCATTTAGTGCCTGAATCTTGATACCCATGTCTTGATCATCCAGGAATGAGGCCACTAGTATGATGTCATCATAGGTACAGGCAGATGCCTGGAGAAGCAGACCACAGAAAGTTAGAGAGTGACGTCGCTGTAATAAAACTCCAGGCACAATTCCCCCCCTTTCATTTCCAAATAATACTTTGTCATCTATCAGATCCATCTTAACCCCACTCGTTTCAATGGTTCAACCACTTACTTAATCTATAAAGTGGTTAACTTTGGATGGACCATTCCTTAAGTTTCTAGACTTCCTGAATTTAGGAGAGAGCCTGAAAATAGTTTTAAGTGAAAATTCTGAATCAATTTCATGATCAGGAAATTGATTGTATCGTGATTTTATTGTTCTAATGACTTTCTATGCCCTGACCTGGAAAGCCCAGGTTAGCCTGCTCTTGTCAGATCTCAGAAGCTAAGCAAGGTTGGCCCTGGTGGTTCATACTTGGATGGGATGCCACCAAGGAAGTCCAGGATCACTACACAGAGGCAGGTCATGGCAAACCAGCTCTGAATGTCCTCTGCCTTGAAAACCCGATGGAGTTGGCATTAAGTCAGCTGTGACTTGATGGCACTTTCCACCACCAATGACTGTCTGTGGACAAGGAGTAAAATAGAAAATGACCAATTAAATGGTATCTTTTAGCTGTTCAGACATTATCGTTCCATTTCTTTTATTTCTTAGAAAAAGTAATACATTTGCTTCAGAGGTGTTCACATCTCGCTTTGAAGCAATTTTCTATGGTGCGTCACTCATGCCAGCAGACCCATGTTTTTTTAAAATATGAGCCTGCCAGCAATGCTCCCTCTAAGCTGTGAAGTCTTGTGAGCAAAAATTCTACTTTGTGAGCTACTGGGCATGAAAGTTGTGAGCGAGTGATTTGGCTACTGCATAAAATGAGTTTGCTCTGGAGCCCTCCTTCCTGAGCTAAGACAAAAATGTGTGAGCCAGAGGCTAAAAAACCTGTGAGCTAGCTCACACTAACTCAGCTTAGAGGGAATACCGCCTGCCAGTTGTGTGAAATGCAGGCTGGAGGTGAGATTTAAAATACAAAAGGGGCAAGCAGTAAGAAGGTGCTGAATCCTTCCCATGCCCACCATAGCTCTCTGATCTTCGTCGTGGTCTCTGTGCAGTCCCACACATGGGTTGGGCGCCTGAACATGACCTCAACCAGAGAACATTCCACAGCTTGCCTCAGGAGTCTTTTTGGCGGGCTCTCTTCCCACCCTGGGGAGCAGGCACGCACTGCGCATGCCTGGAGCGGGGGAGAGAGCTGCCTCCCACTCAGTTGTTCATCGACCGCCTTCATGTTCACACCTTGCTAGCATCGCTCTTCAGATTGCCTCAGCTGAGTTCTTTTCTCCTGCTTTCGTCTTCTTATTCTTCTCATTTCTCCTTATTCCTACTTATTCTCCTGAAAAACAAACAAAAAATTTACTATTTTCCCTCACTTTCGTTTCTGTCTGCCCCCCCTCTTGGCCAGGGGTGTGTGTGTTTGTATGGGATGCAGAAAATTCTTTAAGACGTTTCACCATTGCCCAGCCAAACTTCCTTTCAACGACGGCCACAATCTTTGTTTGTTTTGTCTGGGTGAGTCTCACCGGGTTGATTCCTGTCCCCATTGCGCGAACTTTACCCATAGGGTGGCCTGACTTAGAACGTCTCTCCTCGAGGCAGCTTTGCGTCCTACGATGTCTTCAGTCACGTCCAAGTTTTCTGCTCCACAAAAAAACTCTGACAATGTGAAACCCCTAAAGCATAAGTCTAAAAAGCATGAAGACAAACAGTTGGCTAAGCTGAAATCGAAGCGCTTGATGTCGACTTCAGCTCTGAAGCTCAATCCCATAGTGATCTCCGGTAGCTCAACATCGACTCCAGTGTTATCTTCTGTGGCTCTGCCTTCACATAAGCCTAGCCTTCAGCCTCTGCTGCCGTCTACCTTGTCTTCACCGTCAGGGCGTATTCTACCTGATCAGCATTCAAAGTTGCCAGTACAGCGCTCTTCCTCTCATCGTGCCTCTCGGTCTCACTCCTGAGACTCCCATATGCCTATCCACCTTGTGGATGACAGGGAGCATTTCATGTGAAGTCGATGCAAGTCGAGGTCCTGCTATACTCGCAGACCACACCATTACCATAGCTCACCCTCTCCATTGAGATCAGCGTCCCATTATTGATCCTGGTCTCCAGATGTCAGGCACCATAGAGCGTATTACCCTCGTTCTTACTCCAGGTCTTCTACCCCTCACTGAGATTGTTATGACCGGTTTGGACAGACTGACTGCTACGGAGGCCAGCCAACTTTGTCCTATTCCAGGCATTCCCACTCGGTAGCCTCGGTCCATTCCCTCAGGCTAGATCAGCCTCCAGATGTATCTATGTCTGCGGATGCCCTGAAGCGTTCTCCATTAAAACCTTGGTATTGCCCTTCCGCTGATGACCAAACACCTATTGATGTCTCTCAACCACTTCGATCACCTACTCCAGTCTCGGTATCTGACCATTCTGTGTCTGGTGATCTTGACTCTGATATCCTTCCTATTGAGGATGAGACCTGTTGCTCGGGTTCCATCTCTCCCACCGATGGCCTGAAAGCCTATTTGGAGCTTGTTATGTGAATGGCCACAGGTCTTCAAGCGCAGGGTTCTACTGAAACTCCTGCGGTGTCCAGTGTTGTTCATAAGTTAGTGCAAGTGGATTTGCCACCTTCGACAATTCTCCCGTTACTTCCAGTCCACCTTTCAGTCCTCAAGGAGTCTTGGGTCCATCCTGCCTCTGTCATTCCGATATCGAAACATTATGATGGCCTTTATAAGGTTCAGGAATCTTCTGGAAAATTCTTGTTCAATCAGCCTCCACTGAACTCGATGATTGTTCATTCCTCTTCTAAGTCTAAACAACCTGTTCGACAGTCCACTCCTCCTGACTGTGAGGGACGGAAGATTGATGCTATTGCCAAGAAAACTTACTCCATTGCATCCATGAACGTTAGAATTGATACCTTGTCATGATCCTGTCTCTCCCCCAATCCAACCCAGGAATGGAAAGGGAAAGGATCATGGACTGAGACAATGAATTTTACACAAAAACCCAGGAGAGGTAGTCTCTCTTTGGATTTAAGACATTTGCCACCAGAACCTTTCACTATAGTCCCCTTCCAGCCCAAGAGAAGGTTCAAACTCTTGACTGGCTTTTGGGACTTAATCCAAGAATATGCTTAGCCAGGTAGCAGCAATTGGACAAGCAGTCTCAGGCACTAAGGAAAAAGGCTTGGAGTCAAGGTATATCAATCAGACACAGGTTATAAACAGATAGGGTTTATTTATCACAGAACTTAGCAATCAGACCAGAAAAGACATTAAAACAAGAAATCCTATGGCTCTGTGGCCCTTACTAAACATTAAAGATCTATATAGTTACCAGGATGATCCATAGTCCAGAAGCATCAGTATAAAGTCCAATTAGGTCCCATCTTTGGGCCAGTATGCAGCCATGTGCTCAGCTGCACAACACAGTCCTTTGTCTCAGGCCTTATGGCTGAGACAAAGCATTTCCAGAATAAGTCCACAGACAGCAGGTAACAAGAACAGAACAGCAAGCAGAAAATCTGAGCTCGTGTCTTTGTGTTCAGCCTGATAAAGGGCAATCCCAGGTTTCAAATGACTCTGGCCATGAGCCAATTGACAAGACCTGGGACCGTCCAAGTGTCCTGAATGGTCAGTAGTCTTGAAGGCCACACACCTATCTATTGTACCTTTCTGCTTATGCATTTAATGTAGCCACTGCCATTCGTCCAGTTCTTGAATTTGTCCCAGAGGAACATCGTCTTACTTTGTCTGCTGCTTTATCCAAAATTTGTGCAATTTCCAAGCAACAGATCAACTCCATTCATCATGCTGTCACCTGCTCTTCTAAAGTCCTCACTTCTTCCATTGCACTCCGCCGTCATGCCTGGTTTAGGAGTACCTCCTTGCAGACAGATGTTAAATTCAAAGTCAAGGATCTGCCCTTTGATGGCAAAGGACTTTTTCACTCCACTATGGATGAGGCTCTGAAAGCTGTCGATGACAGCAGGAAACAAGCTCAAAACCTTGGAGTTTCTACTTCGACACCAAGGCCTTGATACCATTCCTGGAGGCCTTACTACAATAAATGTCAGCCATCACCTGCTACTACCTTGCAGTAGAGGAAGTGGGCACCCTGAACCCCCCCCCCCGTGGGGTGGAGCGGTGTTAGCCAACGAACGGAAGTCCAGCTCGCAAGATCGGAGAGCCTAGAGAGATCTCCTCGGCATGAAGAAAACCTGTAATGGGCCATTCCAGCCAGGCGGTGGCAGTGTGGCGCTACAACTTGAAGGAGTCTGGAGAAAAGCTGACGCCATCAAACCAGGCCGAGGAAAAATGCTGACCGGATCACGTCTCATCTTCAACTGAACGAAACCCTCGTCAGCTGCGGATGTGTGTGATTTACGATGTATATATGTTGTCCTCCCTTACCCCACAAATCATTGTTAGTCCCTCGTAAAAATGAGTACCTGTAAATTGCTCAGAGCCAGCAAGCTCTGCAGGATTGAGCGATCAATAAATTGAAAGATTATTATTATTATCCATCTCAACAACCACGACAACAAGCCTCCAAGAAGCCCCAGCAGCCCAAGCAGTCCATTTGACCACCTCGAGGGCCTGCCACCACCACCGCCTCCTTCATTCACCCCTCCCATTTGGACCTGACTCTTCCCTTTCCTTCAAACTTGGGAAGAAATTACCACTGACTCCTGGGTCCTTACCATCATACGGGTCGAGTACGCCATAGAGTTCGCTTCGCCCCAACACTTCCTCACTTTGTCATCACACCCCTGAATCCATCGCTTCATTTAGAGGTAGACGCGCTTCTCCACAAGGGGGCCATCGAGATCAACTCGGAGGCACAACGAACTCTCAACTTCTACTCCAAGTACTTCCTAGTCCCCAAAGGAGATGGTGGTTTGTGGCCCATCATGGATCTTTGAGATCTCAAATATTTTGTTCGCTGCAAGAAATTTCGAATGATCACTTTACATTCCATTCTCCCTCTTCTCCCCAAGTCTGGGTGGCTGGCGTTGATAAATCTTCAAGACGCCTATTTTCACTTTACCATCTGCCCTCAACATCGAAAATTCCTACACTTCACTGTTGGAGGCGATCATTACCAATACAGTGTCTTTCTGTTCGGCCTCTCTATGGCCCCCAGGGTCTTTACGAAAACAATGGCAGTTGTCACTGCCGAGTTGCACCGTTGGGGGATTTTCTTTACCCCTATATTGACTGGCTTCCTACAGAGACTCAGCTTCTCCACGACGTTCACTTTACTCTTGCCCTTCTCCACACCTTAGGTCTGTGCATCAATCTGTCAAAGTCTGCACTCCAAACTGTTCAGGTTCTCCAATTCTTAGGAGCCCGCCTCGATACCACCACCGAGACTGCCTTCCTGCTGGATTCCAGGGCTTCGGACATAATCACGCTGGTGTCCACCTTCACCAGATGTCCCCAGCAATCGGCTCAGTCGGTCATGAGGCTCCTGGGCTACTTCGCATCCACTGTCTTTGTCATACGAAACGCCAGGCTCAGAATGCGCCCCCTTCAGCTCTGGTTCCTTCGTGCTTTCGATCCTCAATTGAGTCCTTGGCACACGAAGTTCTTGAGACGGAGACGGTGCTGGTCGCTCTAACAGACGATCTCTGTAGGCATCTGGAATGAGGTGGTGTGGCAGCACTGGTGTTGTTAGATCTGTCGGCTGCGTTTGGTTGAAATTAAACCCGGCAAAGACGGAGGTCCTGGGCCTGAGCCGGACCGGTCTGGGGTTGGGGCTCCCTCTCCTGGCCTTCGACGGGGTGCCTTTGGTGCCTGTGTGGGAGGTTAGGAGTTTGGGTGTGCTCCTGGACTCCTTGTTAACGATGGAGGCCCAGGTGGCAGCCACTGCCAAGGTGGCCTTTTACCATCTGCGGCTGGCTCGGCAGTTGGTCCCCTACCTTGACCGCGAGGACCTGGCCACTGTGATCCATGCGACGGTCACCTCGAGGCTAGACTACTGTAACGCTCTCTACTTAGGACTGCCTCTGTCGCAAATCCGGAAGCTGCAGCTAGTGCAGAATGCTGCAGCCAGGCTGTTGATGGGCCTCTCTAGGCAAGACCACATCCAGCCTGTGCTGCAAGCGCTGCACTGGCTGCCGATAGCATACCGGATTTGCTTCAAAGTGCTGATTCTTACCTTTAAAGCCCTAAATGGCCGGGGTCCGGCTTACCTGAGGGACCGCGTCTCCCCGTATGTTCCCTCAAGAGCACTACAATCGGGGAGTCTCCACCTCCTGGAAGTTCCAGGCCCCTGGGATGTTATGTTTGCCCCTACTAGGGCCAGGGCGTTTTCAGTGGTAGCTCCTACTTGGTGGAACGAGCTCCCGGAGGAGATCCGGGCCCTGCGGGACCTTGTGCAGTTCCGCTGGGCCTGCAAGACGGAGCTCTTCCGCCAGGCTTTTGAGTAGGAGCCGCCGCCACTATTCCACCACCGTGGTATTGCTCCATCGTCTGCCCCTATTATGGGAGGTAAGCATCACCTGGCAGAAGCGCGTAGAACATCGTCACTGGAGACCGTGCTATTGAGACAGCTGGCCATCGAATTGGGATTATTGTTCCCATCTTGGGTGATTTACATATAGGATGACATCAGAGCACCTTAAATATTTTATGGGTTTTATTGTGGTTGTTTTATTGTATTTTATCTATTTAATCCGGCTTTCGCCGTATGTTAGCCACCCTGAGCCGTTGGAAGGGCGGGATATAAATCTAAAAATAAATAAATAAATAAATCCCTGCACACGTACTGACCTTCCTGTCATGGTGGTCTCTTCCACAACATCTCCTCACCGGTATGCCCTTTTGACATCCGCCTCCAGAGATTTCTTTGTCCACAGATGCATCCCTTTGGGGTTGGGGAGCCCAATGTGGGACGCTGTCTGCCAGGGGGATCTGGTCTCCTCAAGAGAGCGCTCTTCACATCAACTTCCTGGAGCTTTGAGCAGTGCATCTTGCCTTAAGGTCCTTCCTCCCGATCATACAAGGCAAGGTTGTCCGTGTTGCCTCGGACAATATCACGGCTGTTTTTTACAACAACAAACAGGGTGGCACTGCTTCTCTTCGCCTTTGCACAGCAGCGATCTGCCTTTGGAACTGGTGTCTTCATCATTCCATCATGCTGTCCGCTATACACATCCCTGGTGTTCAGAATGTAGACGCCGATCTTTTGAGCCGCTCGGTCCCACAAGACAACGATATCTACAACTGGTTTTCCTCGAGTTCAGTCACCTGACCATCAACGGTTTTGCCACTTTGGAGAATGCCTGCTGTCACCTCTTCTGAGGTCCACCGATCGCCTGGTCTCTGGGAGATGCATTCCTTCACAGATGGACGGGGACCCTATTTTATCCACACACACCCATTTCCTCTCATCTCCAGGGTGCTTCAAAAGATTGTGGACAGCGCCACCTCCTGCATCCTCATCACTCCTTGGTGGCCACGCCAAGTGTGGTTCCCTCACCTCCTCTGTCTCTCCAACGGACGGTTCCGTCATCTCCCTCGTGTGCTGGATCTTCTGTCCAGGGATCAAGGACAGATCCTCCACCACAACCCGACCTTCTTCAGGCTGACGGCGTGGAAGATCCTACAGTAGACTTCCCACCTGAGGTGTCAAATGTATTGCTTAATGCAAGGAGACCGACTACCCGCAATACCTATCATCTGAAGTGGAGGAGGTTCCAATATTACGCCTTACAACACTCCTTCGATCTGACCCATGCTTCTCTATGGGAGATTTTCTCCTACATTGTGTCCTTGAAGGAATCTGGCCTTGCATACTCTTCTCTAAGAGTACACCTGGCTGCCATCTCAGCATATCATCCCTTAATACAGGGCTCTACTGTGTTTTCACACTGCCTGACAAAGTCTTTCCTTAAGGGGATTCTTCATCTCTACCCACTTCAAAAGCCGTTCGTGCCTTCCTGGAGCCTGTGTCTAATTTTGACGCAACTCATAACTAAGCTGTTTGAACCTATGGCTTCGGTGGATCTTCGACTCCTCTCGTGGAAGACGGCATTTTTAATTGCTATTACTACGGGCTTGCCGGGTAGGGGAACTTTCTGCCTTGCGTGCAGATCCCCCATATACAATTTTCCACAAGTAAAAGGTAGTTCTCCAGCCAGATCCCTCCTTTCTACCTAAAGTCATTTCTGCCTTTCATTTATCTCAGTCTTCTGTTTTACCTACTTTCTTTCCGAACCCAGGTGACGCACCTCAGAGAGCCCTGCACTGCCTCAATGTCTGAAGGGCGGTCTCCTTTTATCTCCATCAAACAAAGCCTTTTCGAAAGTCTCCAAGGCTTTTTGTTGCCTATGGTTCCCCATCCAAGGGTGAGCCGATCTCCTCTCAAAGATTGTCGAAATGGATTACTATTTATTTATTTATTTCATTATATTTCTATCCCACCCTCCCCGCGAACGGGCTCAGGGCGGCTCACAGTTTAGGGCACCATGTGCCAAATATAAAAACCTATAGAAACAAATAAGACAAGATAAAAACAACCATATCTTACAATTAAAGTGCTCAGTGATGTTAGTTCTTCAATCGCATTTAGATGGCGTACTGTAAATGTAACACAAGGTCCCGATTCAGCGGTGATTGATCTATTACAATGTTGTGGCTTTGAGTTGGCAAACCAACCCGTACCCGCCTGTATCACTGCTCACTCCACAAAAGCAGTTTCGACTTCTATGGTCTTCCTAGCTGGTATCCTGTTGGAAGATGTCTGTGCTGCAGCTACGTGGTCCTCGACATCGACCTTCGTGTCCCACTATGCACTCGACATTCGAGCTTGATGGGATGCTGCATTTGGCCAGGCGGTGCTCCAATCTCTCTTCACCTGATGATTCTACTTCTTCAGGTCAGACCTGTAAACCATACTGCAATGTCCTAACCTGTTTATTCTCTCTTCCAGCTGCCAGCTCCCTCCTCCACCTGGTTCAGCTCTTCTAATCACCCATGTGTGGGACTGCACAGAGACCACGACGAAGATAAACAGGTTGCTTACCTGTAACAGATTATCTTCGAGTGGTCATCTGTGCAGTACCACAATCCCACCCAGCCTTCCCCACCGCTGGCATCTCCTGTTCACTTACCTTGAGTTGATAGGACTTACCGGTAGCAGTCAAAGGAACTGAATGGGAGGCGGCTCTCTCCCCCGCTCCAGGCATGTGCAGTGCATGCCTGCTCTCCAGGGCGGGAAGAGAGCCCACCAAAAAAACTCCTGAGGCAAGCTCTGGAATGTTCTCCAGTCGAGGTTGTGCACAGGCACCCAACCCATGTGTGGTACTGCACAGACGACCACTCGAAGATCATCAGTTACAGGTAAGCAACCTGTTTCTTTCCATTCCCCAGGGGGCATTCTTCTGCCAGTGAGCCAACGGGAAGAACCGTTCCTGAGGATGGGGTTGTGGGAGGAAGAAAAGCAGAAACTGGGGGGAAGGACTTGGAACTGCTGCCAATCACAGCAGACAATAGTGACCTTGATTGACAAATGGTCTGATTCAGTGTAAGGTTGCTTCATGTGTTTATTGGCCCTGATGCCATACTGTGTACCTGGGTCCTGTGAAACAAGCAAGGGCTGAGTCCAGCTACCCTGCCCATGCCTTTCTTGCTCTACTAGACTATGTCATGCATGTCACAATTCTGGATTCTCACCTCTATGTCCAGTAGGTAAACACACCGCGTGATTCCGTGGAGAATCATTTTCTTGGCATAGACATCCAGTCTTGGATTGAGGGAAAGCAGGAGTCCCCGGAGCTCTCCAGAGTCCCTCACAGGCACATTTGCAGTCTGGTGCACTACAGCGAGTCCTGGCAACAAAAGCAAAAAGGAAAGGAGCATTGAAAATGGCAGGAAGGTTAAAAAGAGAGATGGCTGTGAACTTTAAACTGGCAATGAATAGAACATGTATTGGAATGAATAAAAATGCCCAGTGTGCTCGGATAAGGCAATAATTTAAGGCATTCTCCTCTTTCAACAAATTGCTCTCTTGGAGTTCTTGCTCTTAAAAGGAGTACAATGCCAACTGCAGGATCAGCCACTTGGGGATATCTGATATTTAACTCATAGCAATTCACATTTCATTAAGCACATTGCCTCACGACAGAGATATGGACAAAAAGAAGGCAGTCTTTGAGCACATGCCGAGTAAGAATTAGAAGACAATAATGCAGACCCTGAAAGAAGCCCCTTGACAAGCCTAGGGGCAGAGAGGAGACCAAAATAGATCCAACATTTCATTAACACAACTATTACAAGGAAGCACAAGGACAAGGACATCCCTTGGTTGCATTTCCAGATTCCATAGAATGAAGACTATGAAAAACTCTGGAGCAATCTGGGTGGGAAAAGGTGCAGCCCTTCCTGTCTGAGCTGAATTAACTTTTGTAAGCTGTAGGGAAGCCCATCTTACAGCAGATTCACACAACACAGCTTCAGGCAGCAGTGCCAGGGGCACATAATTAGGCAAATATACACATTATTGCTATGTGGTCATTTAGGGGCATATCCAGAAGGCCAGGTGCCCAAGGTTTTGGTTTGGTGCTGACAAGCTGAACAGATACAGCTTGAAATCTGCCATATGCATGCACCCTCTTCTAAACAGTTTCTTGCACAGACGCGAAGAATTCTAGAATATAGTAAAATGCTGTGGGAATGCTTCACCATCTCCCTGTATCCCCTCTTACTCACTGGCTAAGGGAAGTGACGCTGGGTTGTAGGGAGGGCTCTTGATCCCTGCCATTATGGTCTTAGCCACCAGGTAGACAGCGCCAGCTGCCGTAGCCGTAGTTACCACATTTTTCACGGTTACCACATCTGAGTACTTCATCTGCTCGCCTTAAACTTCCAGGAATCCTGATCAAGTGGAAACACTAGAGTGCTCACTACATGGTTTGTGACATCACCAGATTCCATTCTGACTTCAGTTGCACACTATCCCAGCAGCTGCAGAAAGCAAGGTGGCAGGAAGTCAAGGGCCTTGGGTTCTCCTGTTCTGTTGACATCAGTGCAACAGGTCATTCTTTCTATGTCCTCATCTGTAAAATGGGTACAGGTACTGATCTTTCCTGTGTAAGGGTAATGGCTGGAAAGACCACAATAGATTAATAGGGGAGAACGAGCTCTCCCAGGATTAACTCTCTCCTCTTACAAGTTTATACTCTTACAAATGCTGGGGAAACCCATTAGTACATTCGAATGATTTTCACTGAACAGGAAGTATTAACAGCTTTTGAATTAATAACAATATATGAAAAGCTGGTCACACTTCAATATGACTCCCAGCAGAGTTATGAAGAAGAGTACCTGTAGCTTGGTACTTCGCAGTTCCTACTGAATTCTACAGGGAAAAATAAGTGACTGCAATATGCAATATGCCCACTAGGGTCTTGCAGAGGCAGGGCTTACCTCCTACTCCAGGGGTCCCCAACCTTTTTGAGCCTCTGGGCCGCTTCGAGATTGTGACACAAGTTGGTGGGCACAAGCACAAAATGGCTGTCAGAAGAAGAAGAGAAGAAGAAGAGATTGGATTGGATTTATACCCCACCCTTCAGTATCCAAAGCCATCTCAGAGCGGCTTACAAACTCCTTTCCCTTCCCCTCCCCACAACAGACACCCTGTGAGGTAGGTGGGGCTGAGAGAGCTCTGACAGAAACTGCCCCTTTTCAAGAACAGCTGTGCCAGAACTACGGCTTGCCCAAGGTCATCCAGCAGGTGCAAGTGGAGGAGTGGGGAATCAAACCCGGTTCTCCCAGATTAGAGTCCGCGCACTTAACACCTACACCAAACTGGCTCTCTACACTACACAACCACTACACCAAAGAGGCTGAGCCAACCACAAAACCACACACTTTCCTCTCCCTTCCCTTCAAGCCAGTTAGTCTCCTTTTCTCCTGGGCATTGCCAGTGTAGTGTAGTGGCTAAGAGCAGCAGACTCTAGTCTGGAGAACCGGGTTTCATTCCCCACTCCTCCACGTGAAGCCTGCTGGGTGACCTTAGGCCAGTCACAGTTTTCTCAGGACTCTTTCAGCCCCACCTACCTCACAAGGTGCCTGTTGTGGGGAGAGGAAGGGAAGGCAGTTGTAAACTGCTTTGAGTCTCCTTAGGTTAGAGAAAAGCACAGTGTAAAAACCAACTTTTCTACTGTTTGGGAGAAAAAGAAGCTGACTGGCGGGGGGGGGGGGGGGGAGAGAGAGAAGGGCTCCCCCTCTCCTTTAAATCTAGATAGTCTCTTTTCCTCCCAGGTATTGCTACTCAAGAGGAATAGAAGCTCACTGGGGGGGGGATGGCTGTCCTCCCCCCCTCCTGTCAAGCTATTTAGTCTCCTTTCCTCCTGGTTCTTGATACTCAGGAGGAAAAGAAGCTGACTGGCAGGTCAGGAGAGGAGAGGAGAGGAGAAGGGCTTTCCTCCCCTTCAAACTAGTTAGCATCTTTTCCTCCAGAGCATTGTTGCTTGGGAGGAAAAGAAGGTGACTGCCCAAGTTGGGGAGAGAATGGCTTTACTGTTTTTTTCAGTCAGAACAAGCTGGACCCACCCACTTCCTGAGATTGCTCAGTGGTTGCAAGAAAAGGTATATGCAAGCACCCTGGTGCCCATGGGCTACATGTTGTGGATCCCTGTCCTACTCCAACAGTACTCGCCAAATACAGCCTTTTACTTTCTCCCATAGAAGTAAATGGATATCACTCACTCTTATGGGAAACATAAGAACACAGGAAGGGCCCTGTTGGATCAGACCAGTGGTCCATCTAGTCCAGTATTCTGTCTCACACAGTGACCAACAGTTCCTATGGAGGGCCAACAACAGGGCTCAGAGGCCAAGGCTTTCCCTTGATGATACCGCCTGGCTCTGGGATTCAGAGGTTGACTGCCTCTGAATGTGGAGGTTTCCCGCAGTCACCATTGCTAGTAGCCACTGATAAACCATAAATCTATTTAATCCCCTTTTAAAGCTGTCTGTTCCTGTGGTCATCAGTACATCCTCTGGCAGTGAATTCCACATTTTAGTTACTCTCTGCATAAAGTAGTATTTCCTTTTGTCCCTCCTGAATCTACTGCCCATCAGCTTCATTGGATGCTTTTGAGATCTAGTATTTTCAGAGAGGGAGAAAAATGTCTGTTTGTCAACTCTCTCCACCTCATGCATAATTTTATAAACCTCTATCTGATAGAGTCTATCATGTCCCCCCTCAGTCATCTCTTTTCTAAACGAAAAAGTCCCAGAATCTTCAGCTTCTCCTTATAGGGAATGTGTTCCAGCTCCTCAGTCATCTGGTTTTCCTTCTTCGGATCTCATAGCAATAACTATGAATGGGCACGAACCAGCTTATGAACTAATTTTGGCTGGTGCATGGTTCACAAACTGAAGTTTGTGGCAGGTCAACTGGCAAGAATTTTCACGAACTTTCAAGCAGTTTGTGGAGGTTCCTGCCTGCTAGTGAATGGATACATTTCCAGACAGACTGTCTCCACTCAAACTAAAGATTTCACCAAACTTCAAAGCAACAAGGAGGGTGGAATTCTCCAGTCTTGGGAACACTCATGTCAATTTCAAACTAGTCATGTCAGTTTCAGTCCCCCCCACCCTTTGCCAGGGTTCCTTTGTGTTCTCTTCCCATCTTTTTGTACATAGCTTGCAAAATCCCACCAATCTTGCTTGGATTTGTGACTCTGTGCTTTGAGATCAGTCCTTTTAAGCTTGCAATGCCAGTGGCACCAGGTTCTGCTGGGCATTCTGCACATTGTAACTGGTTGTGCTGGGCTTGCAACCCCCCCACTTGGATTTCTTGTGACTCTGCTTGCAGTGCTACAGCGTCACTGGGTTCTGTTGTGCATTCTGTACACTAAACTGTTTGTGCTGGGTTTGAAAAAATGTCCCCCCCCCTTCAGTTTGTACTGCAAGGATTCTCTGATTTGACATTAGTCCTCTTTTACTTGCGTTGCTACAGTGGCACTGGGTTCTGCTGTGAATTCTGTACACTGAACTGGTTGTGCTTGCATCTCCCCCTTGCTTGGAGCATGATTCTGTACTTCACATCAGTCCTGTTGAGCTGACATTGCCACAATGGCACTGGATTCTGCTGGGTACTGGTATATTGCACTGGTTCTGCTGGGCTTCCAACGCCCCCTTTGACTGGAGTGTGATTCTGTACTAGACATCAGGTCTGTTGAGCTGGCATTGCCACAATGGCACTGGATTCTGCTGAGCATTCTTTGATTGCACTGGTACTGCTGGGCGCTCTGTACATTGCACCGGTTCTGCTGGGCTTGCAAAAATGCCCCCCACCTTCAGTTTCTACTACAGAGATTCTCTGGGACTTTGATTCTGATCTTCTGGGCTTCTGTTGCCCTTGCCTCTTTTTTTTTTTTTTTTGCTGCTTTTCCCCTCCATTGGAAACAATGGACAATGGGGGCACCTTCTTTGGGGGACCCTAACTCGGACTCCATATATCCAATCTTCCCCAACCTTGAAGGACAACTAGAGGAGAGTCAACTAGAGATCCTCGGCAAGTTTGGTGTCTCTAGCATACTGGAGGGGCCATTCTACTGAATCACAAATCTCACCAATGAAACTGGTTCATTTGGCTCTTAGAAGTTCATGATGGTTTGTGGTTTGCAAATTGGGCATGCTGTGAACCATGAACTATCACAAACCAAATTTTTCCAGTTTGTGCTCATCCCTAGCAATAACATGTACATTTGCTTAATTATGTGTCCCTGGCACAACTGAATGAAGTTATGTTGTATGACTCAGCAATAAGATTTTTCCAGCTCTGCAATGTCCTTTTTGAGAAATAGACCTGTACACAGGATTCCAAATGAAGTTGCACCTTAGATCTATATAGGGGCATTACAATATCGGTCATTTTATTTTTAATCCCTTTCCTAATAATTCCTAACATAGAGTTGGCCCTTTTCACTGCTGCAGCACACTGGGTTGACTCTTCCATTGAGCAGTCCAGTACGATCCCAAGATCTTTTCCCCGATCAGTCTCAGCAAGCTCAGACTGCATTAGCCCATACTTGAAGTTGGATTTTTTTGTCCCATCACCTTTTACTTACCAACATTGAACTTCATTTGCCACATTGTCACCTACTCACCCAATTTGTGGAGATCCTTCACAGTCAGCTTTGGTTTTCACCATCATGAATAATTTTGTGTCGTCTGCAAACTTGGCCACTACACTACTCACCCCTAGTTACAGACATTTATGAACAAATTAAATAGTACCAGTTCTAATAACGATTCTTGCGGGACTCCACTGCTTACTTCCCTCCATTGTGAGAACTGTCCATTGATTCCTACTCTTTGCTTCTTGCCATTTAACCAATTTTTAATCCTTAAGAGAATCCATCTTCTTATCCCATGACCAATGTTCCCTCTAAGCTGTGGAGTCTTGTGAGCAAAAATCCTACTTTGTGAGCTCCTGGTATTGAAGCTGTGAGCGAGCGATTTGGCTGCTGCATCAGTTAGTTTGCTCTGGAGCCCTCCTTCCTGAGCGGAGACAAGAATGAGTGAGCTGGAGGCTAAAAAACTGTGAGCTGTCTCACACTAACTCAGCTTAGAGGGAACACTGCCCATGACTGTTAAAAACTTAAGTTTTCAACTTGAAAACATGATTACTGTGGAAGCAAGCATTGCCCCAACTGTAATGCCCAGGCTCAACTGACCAAGAATTCACATGGGGATGAACAATGTGTCTGTGTTTAGAGTTCAGGGTATGAGACGTTCCATGATTCCATGTACAGGTGCACCGTCCAAGCACAAGTCATAGAAGCATATTGTGGTGCATTACCATGGTCAGTGCCCAGATGGGAGACCTGCACT